GGAGCAGGGAAAAAAAGAGGGGGGGGGGGAAAAAAAAGAGGGGGGGGGGGGAGGGGAGGCAAGGGGCTGTCCCTCCAGTAGTTGAATAGTCCCTGCGATAGTTGAAGTTGCTTCTCTTGTGCTATGTTGGTCTCCTGGCCAAATCCCACAGTGCTTGCTGGATTCTTATTCAAACCAGTTTCCTCTCAATTCAGCTGGAGCTCCCTTTGGCAGAGGTCTGCAGGAACTGCTTTCCTCTTATTTAAAGTTAGGAGAGAATTTGCAGAAGGAAACAATTCAAGTGGTTGGGTAAGAGGGGAAAACGCAAAGTCCTCAAAATGTCATACCCTGATTTTGCAAGGTCACGTGCAATCTTCTGTTCTCTGTAAAGTTAAACATGTTATAACATTATTTGCCAGGCTGGGGCCATTACTGTGAAACTGTTCTAGATGTTATTGCAAGTGTCTGACATGAGTATTGTTCAAGACCTCTTGACTTTGACTTGGCAAACAGGCCACTGAGAAAACCTGTTTTCTGGCAAACAGGCGGCTTGCTGCCTTTGAGGTGTATCCTTCTGCCAAGAGACAGCCTGTGCAAAGACGTCCGATCCGGCAAGCAAGAAGCCCAAGGCTGAACTTGGACCTGGGTTCCCCAAGTGCTAATGTATCGTGTGACTGAAGTCACTGCTGGTATGTGGTTGTTACTTGTTCTTTATTCAGGTGGAATCATGATGTGTCTTAACTGGTCGAAGCTTGAGATTCTCTCAGGAAAGCTAGGTAGAGGCATTGATGTTTTTACTGTAAAACCATGGCTTGAATAAAGCTCTTTGCAGCTTGGGGAGATGAGGAACAACCAACCAACCAACAGAAACCCGATTGCTTTCCATCAATTTTGTCTGTAGTTGAAAATAGATTCTACAGCAGGCTTGGATCCGCCCCCCCCCCCCCCCCGGTATTGTTATGGTGTTGTGTTCAGCTTCATCCTGGTATCCAACATTTGGTTTCCCATGAGCAGTATGCTGCAGGCATACCATGCCTTGAATCTCTTGTTGAAGCACAACAGAAGTTGAAAAATACAAGTTTTCAAAGCAGGCTTCCAGCACTGAGGAGTAGTTATGGAGGGTTGGTTTGAAGAAAAAAAAAAACATCTCAGTAAGACTGAGCCGCACTCTGATGAAACGACGCTGCTGCAGAGCAGTCAGGCAATGATCTGAATAGACCTTTGCATGTCTGCTGGGTAAGCAAACATCTTTCCCTTGCTAACAAAAGCACTACTTCTTGCCCTGTGATTTTTCCAAGTGTCACTGTCAGGGTTATAGCTGGCAGAAGGGGAGGGGGAGAAGATGACTTTGACTTCTGCCCACTGAGCAGCTGGAGGTTCCTCCTGCCTGGTGCAGCAGACCCATCAGTGTCTCCGTGGGCTCAGCGTGCTGTTGGGTCACGGGTCTGGGGAGCTGCCCGATGCAAAATGTGCCTCTTGCATGGACATACGGACGCTACCCTGGGGCGTGCTTAGGATGTGTGGGAGCCACCGTCCATGCTTTGTTGCAATTTCATACGTCGAGGCATGACTGTTTACAAAGAGGATGTAAAATGTGTTTTCTGTGGATGCAGCAGTGATCTTGCAACCGAAGCCCTGGCTCCCAGATTTCTCCAGGCAATGTTTGGTCCCTTAAACTGTCTCTTCTTGCTTTTTCTCAGGGCCTTGCTGTGACTGTTTTTGTGCAGTTTGGTGCCAGTCAGCTCCACACCCCCCACCTCTCTCTTGCAGATTCACAAGCCCGCCTAAAACACTACTTGGCAAAAATCCTCCACCCGTGTGTGTCAAACGTGTGCCTTTGTTTGGGTGATGACACGTGCCTGTATTTGCTGATGATGTTTTAGCTGCTTGGTTCTGTAAGCAATGTCACTGTCTCTTCCAACGATCTGTGGAGAAGAGCGGGGCTTGATCCCCCTCACCTCCGCTCCAGTACGTTTTAGTCCAACCTGAACTATTTTAGTGCGACGATCAAGAGAAGCAGCAATTGCTCATATGATGTGTCACACCATAAACTTCAGGAAAGTAATTCATTTCAACAGTGTAATTCTAGGACTCGGGAACCAAAAATATGGCCTATTACTCATCTTTGTACCTCATAACACAGAATAACCTAAACCGTTTATTTATTTACACAGCGAAGGTTTAGCCAAATCAAAGTGTTGAATGTCAAGAGCCACTGCTGCTACATATTCAGAGTAATTACTTGCTTTATCTTTTATTTCTATGCCAGTATTGGCCAAGAATTCAAGTCAGAAGATAGGCATGATGCAGATGATGCAGAGACAAAGAGCCCCTACTGGAAACTTGGGAGAGCAAAACTGAATAATTGGCATGTCTTGAGGAGGTTATGAAAGCTTGAATGTGTTTATTTTATGGTTATCTAACATCTACAGTATTTTCTCTGCTGAATGCTTTTTCCTTCCACATGAATGAAATTTTCAGGTGTATGCACACACATGTACACTGTAGAGGAGGCTGTGTATATTAAATGTGTCGGGGCACATTCGGTCTTGATTTACCTTGGTCTAACTCTGGATGAACTCAAAATCATGGATATTTAGCTAAGTCAACCCTGGAGTAACTCAGTGTAGAGTTTGATCCCTAGATTTCCTCGATATGCTTCAGAATAAGTTGTAAATCAGGGGAAAATCCAAGAAACCCAAACAAGCAACAAAATCCCACCAGAGCTCTGCCTGACAGTGCTGGCCCCTTTACACAGCCCTTGTATCATGGGATGCATTTCACTTAGGAAAGCAAAGTGATCCTACAAGAAAGCAAAAGCAAAAAGAGCAGTGCAAGGAAAGGGCATTGACTAGGAGGACAGAAGAATAAGCAAAAGTAAGGAAGAAGACCTGGGAGGAACAGAGAGGAATGGGAACAAAAGCTCGAAGCTATTATGGAGAGTACCCATATGACAGTTGATAGGATGCTTGTGTGTTTGGGTCAGCTACAATTTTTTTTAGATATATAGAGGTTTCTTTAAAGACCCTGGCTTTTGAATAAAGGTGGAGAGAGGGGCATCTGTCTGTGATGTTTCCAGGGTGTCCTGTGCTGCAGCATGGACCTGTGCGAGGAGGCAAGGTCCCACGCACGTCTGTCCCGGGAGCAAGCAGTATCGCGCTGAAGCTGGTTTCCTGCCTGGTGTCGGAGATGCAAGTCTCCTGCAGTCTTAACTAGTGTTTTACTCTTCTCCTTCCCCTATGCAAAACTGTTGCCGAAACAAAACTGTTGTTTGCTCCTTTGTCGGCGCTGTCAGCTCTGCTGGTGGATCTCTCAGACCCGATGCAAGGGGCGTTGAAGGGGGAAAGGTAGCTCGGAGTCAAGGGTGGGTCTGACAGCAGCTTTGCTTGTCTGCTGGGATAGGTAAGGTGCCTGACCAAGTATCTGTCAAAACCGAGGAGAAAATTTGTCCTTAAGGTGCAGAAAGCTAATTCTTTGTGATAGTGAAAAAGTTATCAAGTAGTCATATCATTGGCTCTGTCTCCTGGGTTCAGGTGGTTGCCCCTGCTCCCCACAGCCGGGCTCAGCCTGGGCAGCAGACGTGCCTGCATTTAGTAATGTGCTTCTTTTTAGATCAATGAATTGGAGATGACTTACCAATATGGATAACAGATTACTGTTCCATATTGTTACTACTCCATGTTTTGTATCCTGCAGCTGTGGAAGATAGCAGCTTTTTTTTTTTCTCTTTTTTTAAAACTTTTGCAGAGATTGGGTTGTGTTGCCAGCAAACAAATTGGCATCTCATGTTTCTGTAACCCCTGAATTTGTTTGTCCTCACCAGAATAGCTTCTGTGGTTTGCTGTCTAAATAATCCATGCTAGCCTCTGTGTTCTTGGTCCTATCTCATTAGATGGAAGAATGTACTAATTTAAGACTGTTTCCTTGGTGAATCACCTGAGGCTTTCAAAAATTCTGAAGTTAAGCTGTGATTTGCCTGTTTTATCTTACAACTAACTAATCTTCCTTTAATGTGACTAGTCAGGAATGTAGCTTCCAGGCGTTTATGGTCCTGGTGCTGCTCTGGGCTTCACCCAGGCAGCTGTCTCATGCGTGGTGTTCAGCCTTATCTCTTTATCAGGGGTATTTCATCAGAATGATCTTTTAGCAGCAGAAATGTATCCAGCTAATAACGTGCTCAGTGATCCTGACTTCTGGCTCTTTAGACAGACCATGTAGCCCCAAATCCTGTAGTTCTGTTCTTCAGTTCCTCTGCTGATAAAACTTGACTTTGATTCAAGGCGTTCGTGTCAGAGGGTCTGGATCTATTTTTGTTGTCATATTTCCAGACCATATTTTTTCTGCCTTTTGTTCTCTAAAGGAAAACCAAAATGTTCGCTAATTTAACCTTTCCTTTGCTCGCAGAAAAAAATAAAGGTAAGACTAGTCAGACTGGGAGCTGTCATGTGCTTGATATGTGCTTGGCACTTCCTCAAGCTAGGAAGGCGGCCAGGTATGCTTTGCATAAGTTTGTCTCCCTGTTGCCGAAGCCCACCAGCCCGCAGTGCCGTGGATTGTAACGATGTTGTTGGCCGTAGTTGAAATGAGTTTGCTGTGAGTGGTTAGTGGGTCGGCCGTGATGAAGGATGTTGTATGATCTGGAGATGGAGGGAAGCCTCTTGGGCTTGTGCTGTTGTCTGAGTGTTAAGGCTAGGGTAAATAAAACTCTGAGGTTTTCCCCACATTTCTTATTCCTTCTCGTCGTAGGAGTAAGGTAATGCGGGAGATCCTCCAAGGCCAAATCAAGGCAGACAGCAAACATGCGGGTGCAGCGTCATTGTGCCTCCATCTGGGGGGCAGAGGGATCGTGGCATTTTCTGTGCGTTTTGTTGGACCTGTACCCATGCAAACAAGACTCTTTCACATCATGTAAAATTCAGCATCGCGCAGGAATACCAAGCACCGTGATTCCCCCGCCTCGTCCTGACAAACAAGCAGCTGTCCCTTGGGTAACGATGGGCGAGCTGCGGGGTCCGGGCGCGTGGGGTGAAGGATTTCCTTTGTTGCCGAGCTCTGAGGAAAGGAGGAGCCGGGAGGAGGATTTTGCGGTGCCTTTTGTTGCTCAGCTGGCGCAAGCTGTTAAATCTTTGTCTGGCGCGGATGACCTGGAAGTCTGCAGCACCCGGTCTAAATAAGAAACCTCAATAAATAAATAAGTGTCTATAAATTTGAGGTAGAAAAAGGCAGATACTTTTATTGCGACTATTTAGTGAATCCATTAAAACAATAAAAGGAACCAGATTCTTTTAAGCGTAGAAAAGAGTGATACCCTAGCCGGTCCCATCCTTTTGTTCTCATCTGGCGTTCTGCACTAGCAATGAGAAGGAAAGCACTTGGACAGACGCTAGCACATGCTGTGTCATAGATGGTGGTGCAGACTCTCCTTAGTTTTATTATGCACTTTCAGGATGGGCTCCAGTTGACTCAGACAGCTCTGAGCAGGTGGGCCGCTGGGAACTTGCATTAAAAAAAAGTTTTGCCTTCTTGGATTTTGCAGAGTTGCTCGGTTCTAGAAGTAACAAGGGGATCGTCTTTCATGTACGTTTTAAAAGAGGGAAAAGAAATGTGCCAGGAGAGTGATACCAAAATCATTTTGGTTTTCTTCTCTTTTTTTTTCTTTTTAATAATGCAAAACTAACATTTGGCTATAGTTTGAGAAACTTATCATATCACCTCAAGTCCTATGTCAAAAGCCAGGAACAGCCAAAAATGACACTAACAACTTGTAAATGCCAGCCTGAAGACTTTCTGAGAAAATAAATGAAGTAACTGTTCACCATTAAGTGTGCAAAGTATTTGGGTATGGTTAATGAGATTGTCTCCTCCTCTTTGTTATCTGTTTCCTTGCAGTAACTTTTATCTGTCACCGTACAAGGGGATAAAGAAAGGAATTGTCAGTGGAGGGGGTGGAGTTAGAAAAGCAGCTGTTTCTCTGACCTGGGCAGTTGTGCCTGAAACCATGGTGTATGAGTTGAGACTGACATCCTTTGATTTTTTTTTTTTTTGAGGTTGTGTATACAAGGTTAAAGCAATAAATCATTGGTATGACTGCTAACAACCCCCTCTCCTCTGTTTTATCATTAGGTGGCAGTGAAAGTAATTGACAAGAAAAGAGCCAAAAAGGACACCTATGTCACCAAGAATCTGCGACGGGAAGGGCAGATCCAGCAAATGATCCGCCACCCGAATATTGCTCAGCTGCTGGATATACTGGAAACTGAAAACAGCTACTACCTTGTCATGGAGCTGTGCCCTGGTGGCAACTTGATGCACAAGATCTATGAGAAAAAAAGACTTGAGGAGCATGAAGCGCGCAAATATATCCGGCAGCTTATCCTGGCAGTTGAACATCTTCACCGGGCAGGAGTAGTTCACAGGTAATCTTAAAAACCCTCTCTGGTTAAAATTTATCTCAGAGCCTCTAAGTGGTATTTTTGGCATTTATTTGTGTAGTAAGGAGTGTTCCTTATAAAAACATGTCCCTGACAGCTTTTTTGGCTAATCTTCATGATATTGTTTAGATGCTTATATTGTAGACATTAGAAAGTATCTGCAGAAAGCACTTAAGTAAGTGTGTAACTTCAGGTGAGCAGACGGGAGCTGTGCTGACTCCATGTCCTTAAAGATAAGCCCGTCCTTTGCAAAAGTAGGCCTCTCTTCCTGCAAGTAGCACTATTTTGCCTCTTCAAAGCGCTGTACCAACGTTAACTAATGAATCATTTCACTATTTCTTTGAGGAGGTGGTTGTGTCTGTTGTTTTGCTGGTGGAAATACAGCAGTATGGGGAGACGAACTGATTTGCCCAAAGCCTCGCAGTGACACAGCTGGGATGAAGCCTGAACGGGACCACAGAAGTCCCTTGCTTCTGCTTCTCTGCTCTTTCCACTGGTTATGTTACCCCAACAGGACCTCACAAGTTTGAATACTGTGAAGTACAATGCAACCGTTCAGTTCATCTCACAGTGTCTTCTCAGGAGAGATCCAGAGCTGTTGTGGTACATCACTCTCTTTCTTTAGGACCTTTGTTCAACTGGTGTATAAGCAGGGTGTGGATCTCCTTGCAGGAGGAGGATGCTGTGGATTTAAAGTGGGCTCAAGGGGAAATAAGTTCATCAGAGAGAAGTCTGCAGAGGGCTGCTGAATAAGGAGTAGCTACCTCTGCCTGAAGTCCCTGAGCAGCAAGTGGTAGAAGCTAGGAGAGTACAGGTGGAGGTATCACACGTGGTTGCCGGTCCCTCTTCCTTTCTCTGCTTATGTGTTCTTGGCTGCTATGGAGACAGGAGGAGGGTGGGCTGGGTGGACCTTTGGTCTGAGCCAGTATATCTCCTTTTCTTTTCTTAGGTGTATTTATAGGGTGTTGTCGAAGGAGGCTTTGCTTTCTAAAGTTGGCCCAACTGGTCTTAAGTCTGGACTCCCACATACTTCCCATATGATGCTGAGCAAGTTGTGTAGGCCTCATCCTCTTAGGTTATGCAGGCATGTAGTAGGAGATAGACACCTGAATACTTTTGAGGATCTGGGTCATAATTTCCTTGGCTGCACTGACTCTGTATGACTCTCTGATGAAGAGCTGTTGTACACACCCATCCACAGGGCTGCTCTGCAGGCAGCTGGCAAACTGCCTGAAGGCAGCCCACAGCCAGCTCCTCCAGCTGTGCCCAGCTGTGTGCTGAGCTGCCTACTGCTGTGCAACACTGCTGGGTGCATCTGGCTTGGTGGAACTCCACGCTCTCTGAAAGCTGCTTTTTTTTGTCTTGAATCTCTCCGTGTGTTCCCTGTGGTCCATCAAGGATAGGTGCTACATGTACATACAACCTCGGGTATACTGAGGTCTTATCTCGAGCTAAATTTCTGGTACCACTGTAATATAAATATTTGAGCAGCCACCAGGTCTCTTCTGCAGGTTCTCTATCAGCAGCTAAACTGCTGACCTCTTCAAATTATTAACCCCACAGTTTGGGGCATGGAAAAGGAAGAAGTCTACTTATTGCATTAAGGGATCAATTGATATCCGGTATGTACAGAGAGAGAGGAAGGAAAAAGGTCAAAGTTTCTGAGGTGGGCAGAGGAAAACCTGGCAGGAACAAGATGAACGCATTTAGCTTTTAACAGCAGTATTGAGTTCAGCAGCAGTTCCTTTCCCTGAAAAATTTACCCTCTGCATAGTGGCTGAAGGGCTTAGGGGGGGGTTGGTAGGTTTGGCTTTGATTACCTTCTTTTTCAGGGAGGATTCAAACCCACATTTTGTACCAAAATAGCTCGTTCGTTAGGTGGAAGCTACAATCCACAGGCTACTGTGGTGGGAAGAAGGCAAGGCTTTGGGGTCCAGAGAGAATGTGAGCACGAGTTCCTGTACGGATGCTGCATGCTCGCAGCAGTTCTGGCCCTCAGCCCCTCTTTCTCTCTGCTGTCTCTGCGAACATAAGCACAGCTCACAGAGACTGAAGCGTGAGGGACCTTCGTGAGCGGAGGGAGGAAGCAGCCCTGGAAATACTGATATGCTCTGCTGCATCTGGCAGCTGAGCTCTCTCCATCCAGCCCCATGGCATTGGATTAATCCTTACCCCAAAGGCAGCGTACTCCGTCCACTCCATTTCTCAAATCACAGCATGGCACAGAGCTCGTCCTTGGGAGTCTTCCATCCAGATAATGAGCAGATCCAATTCTGCTTGAACTGATAAAATTTGACAGAATCACAGCAAGTATTTTCTCTAGCTTAACATTCAATGTCTTGACTTATTCTGCAAACAAAGTACATAGAGCAGGATAGAGATGCAGGAAAAAACACTGATGGCGTGATCCAGATTTATTCTCCTGGCTGCAAGAGAGAGAGAAAGAATAGTAGTTAGCCCAGGAGTTGTCCTTCAGCATCTCAGGCTTTTGACTGTGGCAACTCTAAAAACAGACTACTCAATCGGCAACTGAAGATGGGGGGAAAAAATAGTGCAGAAGTCTGATTCATTCTCACCCTGGATGAAATGGCAACGTTCTGTTGTTGTTATTGTTGTTATTTTTAAAACAGGTAAAAATAACAGCACTTTCATCTATGCGGTGATCTGTGGGTGTTCGCATTCACTGCGTGTGAAACAAAACACGGCATCCTAGGCCAGAAAGCAGTCTGCTGTTTGTCTCTCTCCAAGTGCTTTCATCATTCGCATTGAATGGGGCAGGACATTGAAAAGTGTTCACTGACTATTTTATTACAAAAGCCACCAGCATTTTTGTCTTCATTATTTGGGGAATAATATAGATGACTTGCCCTGTTTGATAACTCAGCATGAAAAAAAAGGCAGATGAAATAAGTTGCATGAAATGTGATTACATTATTTGATGAATATTACTCAGTAAGCTTCGTGACTTACAATCAAGACTTGGCATGGCAGAAAAGCACTCTGGACAAGAGCTCAATTGAAATGCCTCTTTTAAGAGGCACCGATGTGCAAAAAGCCTAAAATTAAAAAACTTAAAGAAACCTCATTTTATTTAGAGTAGTTAAAAATTGCTCATGTTTGACTGTATAGGTGTATTTCAAATTATAAACATCTCATCTGCTACGATGGATGAAGACTGCAAGTTCCTGAGGGCAGGAGCTGCATCTTCGGTGAGGGATGTCCAGGGTTCAGAACTCCTTGGCTGCTCACTGAAAAAAGAAATGCCGCTATTCTAAATATAATTTCATGTAATCATTTGTGTTTCATTCCTTCTATCAGAAGAGCTGGTTGGTTGCTAAAAATATACTTGCAACAAGCTCAGCTGTGAATCAGGTAGGAATATTTATCTTTCCCTCTGACAGAGGAAAACAAATCCAAATGGCAGTATCTGGTAAAGCTTTCTCTTTTCAGAGGGTGTTTACATAGGCCTTCATGCTGTCAAAAAGCAGGATGAACAATAAGCCCCTTGGGAGTGTAAGGACAACAGAGAAGACGACGTGAAAGCCTTGGTGCTTGCCACTGCAGCCCACAGGAAATTCTCAACAACCCTTTTAAAGCAATTTTAACAAAATTCAACCCCATTCAGTGCAATTACTGTCAGGATGTCGAAGAAAAGAATTTAATAATGTATTGGTAGCAAAGATAGCTTTCTGTATTCCCTCTTTTTCTGTCTTCATGGCAGCATATTCATACCTTCCATTGCCATTTTGTAATTAAAAGTAGATCAGGAGTTTGAAAGACACAAAAAAACCCAAAGGTTTTGAGCGGAGTTTATATATTTTTCCATGATCTCTT